ATTAATTATATATTTTATGTATATTAATATTAAGTTAAAATTAATTTGTTCTCATCTGTATATAGGATGTTCTGTTTTTGTGTTTCGTGTATTTTTTCGTTAGAAAAAAGATAATGAGCTGTGTGTTTTAAATGGAAATTTTATAAGTCGTCGCGGCGCGGGCCGGTTGGTTTTTATAACGTTTTAAGGTAATTTCCATTGTTACATAATATTTATTTTTAATTATTTATATATATTTTTTATGATTTTTATCTTCGTGTGGTGTTTGGGAATTAAATGGTTTGTAAAAGTTTTTTTGTTTATGATATTGCAAATTTTAATTGTTACATGATATGTCATTTTGATAAGTGCCCTTATCGTGATACAAGTTCATTTTATTAACTTGTTATTTATATTATATGGCTACTTATAATATACATATATTAAACTCATATAACAATTAATTATAATACAGATTTCTGATATATTTCAATGTTCTTTCATTCTATTTAAAAATAAATACAAATAAGACTCCTGAACGTTCAATAATTCAGTATAATAGCTCGTAACATGATACAATTACACGTTAAATATACAACATTAAAACCCACATAAATACGGTACAAAATTATGCAGCGCTAACAGCTCTTAAAAGGTTATAATCTTAAATAATTTGTCGGCTGAACGCTTCGTAATTGTCGCAAAAAATGCACCCCACAGGTACGGAGTCATTCATTCAAGTCGTGGACAAAAAAAATATGAAAAAAAAAACTAGGGCGGCACGTACCAACAATTAAGTCGTTCTTTTTTCAAACGGTGCTGGCTGGTTTTTTTTTTTTTATTGGTCGATCTAATGACAAGGGGAGGTTTTTTCTGCCAATCCTTTTTGTGTCTAAACAAATGTGTCAAGATTAACTGGGTGTAACTTTTTTTTTTAAACAATTACATACAGCGGTGGGTTTTAACACGCGATATTTGGATAGGGAGCTGGCTGGTTTTTTTTTTTTAATTTTTTGTGTAAACATCGCACGGTGTTCGGCTTCTGTTTAACGGTCAATTTGTTGGGTTTTTTTTCTATCATTGATACTTTGAGTTTTTTATTACTTTAACAAGTGAATCGTTTATTTTAGTACTTTTTAAAAAGTGGTACTAATAAAAATACATTTTATTGTAGTAAATAAATATTATTTTTTATTGTAATAAAAATTATATAATTATAGTACATGTGGCATGTTAAATTAAAAATTCAGTTCAGTAGTTATTGATCGAACAGACGGACAGTTTTTGTTCCGGAGGTATGAGTTGTCACGGAATACTACCATCAATAATGTTGTACGAACACGATAACTAACTATGGAAACAACTCTTACATTCATTATTAATGTTTTTATATATAAGAAAATATTACAACTATTTGTTCAATAAAGAATTATATGTTTACTATACATATACCTATATGAATATCTCAAGCAATTTCTTGGTAAGTATATTAAAATTCTTTACTTATTTTGTTTATTATTCAATTTGATATGTTATTTAAATTGTCACCAACTTGTAATTCTACAAGCTTTTAATTACTGTAATTTTCTTTCTTCTTACTTTGTAATATTAAATTTATTTATATTTATTTAGATATTAAGTTAATATAAGCATAAAAAGTATTATTTCCATTTTATTTAAACTGATTTATCAAACAGGTTAGAAGGTAAATATTTAGGAGTCTTTAGCTTATTAAAAAAAAATATACCAAAAAATTTAATATATTTCAAATAAAGCCAGATAAAACACAAGTTAATATGGTGAGACTATATAACACAGACCTAATACGTTCGGAGAAATTGAAAATTAAGAATTTAGTTTAGAACTCAGATCTTATTATATAAAAAATATTTTAAAAAAGTCACACTAAAATATATGGAACTTCTTCTTCAATAATATTCAGCATATTTAAAATTTTACTATCAAACAAAAATCAGATTATCACAATACTTTTCCAAATATTAAAAACCAATGTTAAATTTACAATTAATCTAAAAAAACTCTTTCTATATACAGGGTTATTCCCTCCGCGTCCTAAAATCATTAAAAATGTGTCTTGGTGCGTGTCGGTCTTCCCACTATAAAGTATACAATGAATACTTTTTAACAAATACTTATATATAATATACGTATATTAATATATTTGAAATAATATATTTAAAGAAAAATCTAAAAAAAGAAAAATATTTTTCTGGAATTATTCAGACTTAAAAAAAAAATTCAATAATCACAAATAAACAGAGCATAATTTTAAAATATACATATATATTTTTTGGAAAAATCACATAAATTTAATCACCATTTTAACTAGATCTAACTCATCAAACTATTTAAACGCATCTCCCGTCCAACACTAAGTGGACGTTAAATTAAATTTTTCAATTAATGAATATCAAAATGTAAATAACATATGATTGTTATATATTTTCTCACGTTGAATACAAAAACGATCTTATACGAACATAATGAGCTTTATCTAACATCTTAGTTCTCATAGATACACCATGAAACCGGATAAAAACAAAAAATAATATATATTTGCATATGAAGGGACTTTTGTAAGCAATTGTATGATTTTTTTTGTCTTTTCTGCATCAATAGCATCTGGATGAGAGCTGGTACAATTCAAAGGGAGTTTATTGTTTAGTTTAAAACTATTATTTTTAATTATTTTATGTATTATTAAATATTTATAGTGTTTTTATTATTAAATCAATTTTATTATCTGTATTTCCTATTTATATATATGACACTTTTGCATCAAAATAATTGAGTTAGTTTTTTGTTATAATATAAGCCAATGTCAAATATAAATCCTATCAAAATCAGTTCAGCCAGTTTCGAAGATATGCAAAAAAAAAGCAGGTATATAATAATTTAAGAATACATGTGTAGGGTAGTTAATAAAAATTTTATTTTGACATTAAACCTACTTAATATTTCGTTACAATTCGTTTTTTTAACTGATTTCGACTCTTCCGAATAAATTATAGTCCCGTACTAAATGTAACGACAGACGGACATAAACCTTTTAAACTTATATAACAATAGTCAGTTGGTCATCTGTTCATAAAGGGATGGAAAGTTACATTTAACAACTTACTAAAATATAATACTATAACTTTTATTCCATCTTGAAATATTATTAAACAAAACATTCATTAAAAAATCAATTAATATTGCATTTTAACTTAAATACTAAGTTACTGTCAAGATAATATTTAATGAAAATTACTTTATTTAAATTTAATGCCAACCAAAATTACATAGGTTTCTGAAAACACCTAAAATATTTTATTAACAAAGGGATCTAAATATATTTTTTATCGTCTTCAATATCATGTAATAATCCCCAAATTGTAGAGGTCAATAACCCCATCCGGGTCTTACATAAAAGGTTGCCTACTAACTATTGGCGTTTAATATATCATACTTCTAAACTTAACTCTCGCATAATATAAATTAATAATATACATTAATAAATATTAACAATAAATTAATATTAATTCAATTTTATTATTTATAATTTAATTACATAATGAATATTTTTTATTTCTTAAAACATTTCCTTATACAATACACTCGTTTAATGTTTGGGTCAAATTTAATACTTAAATTTTCTATTATAATTAAATAATATATAATATATGTGTATTTTTATTAATATTTTTTCATAATATATCATAATTACTATGGAATATTTTCATAAGGTTCTTACAGAAGTATAGGTTTGAATCTAAATTCAGTTTTGAGTTTTCACTAAGGGTTGTTTTATAAGTAAAGGGTTGTTGCATGAATCGAGATTGTTTTAGATATCAACCCTCTTACTGTGGGGTTGTTTAAAAAGTCGTGGTTCATACCGACGTATTATTCAATATTCATACTTTATACTTTATTTTTACCACGCTTTAATCATACAGTTTTAAATATTTTTATAATTAAGCTATATGTAAATATTTGTAAAGTTTTTAGAGGAGTTATTAATGATTCTTTATAAAAAGTGTTTCTCAATATAAACTAGCGCCCTCTATGATGATCGTGTACCGTAAAAAATGATACACGTCTCGCTCCTTAAATTGTTTATTTGGTGAAGATTTGACTGAGGTGACAAATAATTTTAGATCTGATATAGCAAAAAATTCTTATTTAATATTCTTGGATGGTATTTTTAATAAACCCTTACAGACTTTTTTCGAATGCGTTTTTTTTAGACTTTTTATTGCTATTGGTTATTCTTTTATTTTAAATGAAACTGACTTTAATTCGATATAATTTGTAGGACATACTCATGTAGGTAGTTGATTTATAATCAATATATTTATGTCGTGTGTTGTAATAACAATCTAAATGTCAATCGTAGCCGGACTCGTAGCAAGCTACGCCATCTTTCGGGGGGTAGCGACATGAAAAGTTTCGCTACGATTAGTTGAAACTGTAGGAAAGAAAACACAACAGACATTAGAACATAAATATCTTTATTTCTTTTAAGATTTACAAATATTAGATCAGGATATGCGTAGAACATAGAGAGAAAAGCTGATTTTAGAGTGTACATAGTAAATATAACGAAGCATTCAAATGGTAATTATCATACAATCAATGTTAAATGTTGACTGGACACAGGGTTTAGGTAAAATAGGGAAAAAAACTCGTCGTTGAGGTCGTTGGCTAAAACCTTGTGTGATAAGCTCCGCCTGAACAGTACAAAAAAATACAATGGTAAAAGAGGCGGACCGGAAACGAATACTTAAAAATGTTTAACGAGAAGGCGCTATACGCGGGCTGTTAGAGCGAGAGAGACAGAACATTAAGAAAAAATCAGAAAGAAGGCATTCTTTTCTATTTCCTCCCTCACTAATAGCGGCTTAGAAAAAATCCCGTCGTACCGTCCCGCTCTAACACAGGGGTGAGAGCGGCTAGGGTCGGCCGAGCGAGAGGGGCGACCCTCGCTTCGCGCCCTTTTTAATAGTTCTTATTTCGTCCTGGGTCCGAGCGGTCCGCGACACCGGGCCCGGCCGCTCGGACCGCTGGACCGTCCGGTCCGTCCGGTCCGTCCGACCGACCTCGCTCCTCGCCACCGTCTTCTCCTTGACCGGACGCATTTTTCCGCGGAAAAATCGCGGGGCGCGTGCGCCCGGGGCCGGTGGGGATGTTCTTGGTCGTGTCTAAGGCGGCGGGGGCGGCGCCGCGTCTTGCTAGTTGGAGCGGCGTCTTCGGCTGGCGCGCGCGTCCGCCCCACCCCGCAAGAAAGCGTCGCGGCGCTCAAGTTTTCCACCAAGAAGTTAGTCGACGCCCGCCCGCGCCTCAAGGAGGTCCACATCCGCTTTCCCTCTGATCCCGGCTCGTAAATAACACACGCGGACTCGAACACAACTAACTCGGCTCGATCTGACCGGCAGCGTGTTTACAGACCCATCGTGCGTGGAGGCGCACCGTCGCATGTATTCGTCGTGACCATACGCCCGAAGCTGGAATTAATGTTGAAGTACTTCAATGAGAACATATCCCTAGCGCTGCAGGAGAGGTACAGGGACCTCCATGAGTATCGGAAGGCTGAAGTAGAGGACTCACCGAGGGAGGCCAAGGTACCGAAAATAGCGGAGGAGGGTGACACGGTCGGCGGCGAGGGCGCGTTCGAGCCGAGCGCCGCGCCGCCGTACCCTCGGCTACTGGAGCCGGCCAAGGAGGAAGACAACTTCGTGACCAGCTGGCTGCACAACTCCTTCAAGATGACGGCCGCTGAAGGGAATAATGAGGCTACGGCCGGGGGCAGCGCGCTAGACCTTCGCGCTGCACCCCTATCCTTACACATACCGCTGCAGAACGAGGCCCAGCGGTTCAAGATGCAGGACTTCTGGACCCGCAGCAGGCCCGGCAGCCCTGCCCAGGAGACGGCAGACCACAACCAGGCCGGGCCCGCGCCACAGACACCACAACCACCGGCCACACCTGACCACAAGATTATTACAGAGAAACTCGTTAATGAAATACAGGTGAGTGGATACATTATTTTCTATTTCCCCAACAACTGAAAAGCATTCCAAAAAAAAAAAAATTACACTATATAAACTCTTTAAAATAATTATAATTTTATTGTAATACAAATAATTTTATTTATCAAACAATATTAGAAGGAAATTATTTTTTTATTAAAAAACTAATATCACGTTCCACGTTCCGGCGGTAACTCGTCGAGTAGTGATACAAAACTGATAGTGATTAGAACAGATAAAAAAATAAAATAAATCAAAATTATTATATTTACCTGCAAATTAACTTATTATAAAAAAAATTATATTTATAATTTCTTTATTTGTAAAAGACACAACACACAAAGTTCAATAAAGTCCTCTATCTTGATTAAAATTAACGAATGTTTAATAATTTCTTATTTAAAAGAGAGACTTAATTCCGACCATCTTCATCAGAATATATCGATAGACTGACCTCAAAGAACTCTCAACCGAACTCGTTCCAAATTTGAATGATCCCTACTTCCTTAAAAAAAAGACACAAGGCGAAGGTAACATATTGTAAAGCTTTTGTTAACCAAGAAAGGGTTAAGGGCCGCGTCAAACTTATTATTAAATCGTTTTTGTCCTTATGTCGCATCCGGTTTTACAAAGGATATGTAAATTACGATAATCAGTGATAATTCTATTATTTCGATATTAGCTTGTGATCAACTTGTCGACGATGCCTTGAATTCCGTTCTTTTTTTAAATTTCTATTTGATGTTTCGTTAAATGTTTGTTTTGGGCATATGGCTATTATGGGTTTTGGCTCATAATTTGGAAGTCGATCGGAGTGATCCCTATGTTTAGGCTCGTCGTATGGTGTATCGAAAAAAATAATAATTCAGTATTAACGGCAGTGCATGTGTTTTAAAATTAAAATTCAAAAATGGAAGACAAAAGAATATTACTTTTTAAATTAGTTTCGGATTCGCTTACCTTGCATTTGTCTGTTTCCCACGGCACGGATTAGGGGCATTGTGATTTTATTTTTCTAATTTTTTTTCACCGCGCTTTGTTTCACGGAAGGGGTGTTGACAGTTATTTGTTACGAATCTGTTCCCGTTTCAATTTTTTTTTGTTTTAAACAATGTTTGAACATGGAACCGGTTTCCGATATTCATATTTCGCATTCATTGGATTTTTTTCCGAAATAGAGATTTAACGGTTCGACGCGGAGAAGTAGTTACTTTTGTGGTTAAATTTTTTGTACCATCAACTGTTAATTAAAACTAGTTCCGACGATTCTCAATGGCATTGTCTGTTCAAGTATTTGTTATTACAATAAAATGGTTATTATAAAGAGTGTTCCGGATATTGAATTAACATTTAAGATTTTTTCCTATCATTTTAAATAATAATAATAAAAGAACTGGCAATATGTAATATTACAATGGTCAGAATTAAAAAAAAATATAATATATATTTGTTTTAAATTTGGAATGCCGTGTATATTTCAAATCACCTTAATGTATTTCCATCTCTCTCTTCCCCGTATGTGTTCCTGTATGCGTGACGTGGACAGCAACAACAGTCGCCGTCCGCGGACTCCACGATGAGTGAACGCTCGCTGGTACCCTTTGCTCTGGTAAATTTACTGTCCTCACTCAATAATATTGATGTAAATATATTTTATTACATACTTGTGTGTGTTCAATATATCATTTTGTGTGTGTGTGTTCAGTTCCTTCATTGTTAAAAATACTACAACAAAAATATTAAGTAGTCAATTTATTTTTAATTTTAGAATGATTTGATTTGAATTTGATTTGTTCGATATTTGAAATGTGTGTCTTTTAATTTTTTACTTTTAATTTCTTTACATATATTTAGTTCTGTTTTTAAATTTAGAACGATTGACTCATTTGTTTTTTTTTTTCAAATAAATTATAAGTAATTTGTACATATGTAAGCAGCCAGTATTATAAGCTTGTTCTTCCTCAGCCCCAGCAGCAGTCTCCATCGGGCGAGGCTGACCGCACCATGCTGCCGTTCGCACTGGTAAATGTCCTGAATAGCCTGAATATCGATGTAATTATTTATTTCATTTACTCTTCTATTATAACGGAGTATCGTTCGATTTATTATTAAAGTTTTTTTACAATTCATATAGATTCTATATAAAAAATAATGTAGTATAAATATGTAGACGGTTATTTATTCAATTGTAAGAATTTTCTTTAAATTAATTAATACTTTACAAATTTATCTAATATTTAGAAATTTTATAGTTTCCGTAATGATCATTATTATTTAAAAGTTTTAATGTATATTTGTATAGTTACGTCATACGTGTATTTAATATTATCATTGATTTGAATTCCTCCGAACGAAACTCCGTTCTTCTTTGCTTCATGCCGCTTGTATAAAACATTACATCGTAATTATTACTTAATATTACGCTGTTTTGCTTATTAAGTATACTAAATAAATATATTATTTCTATTAGCTTTAAGTTATATACGAGTTTGCATCGTCGACCTCAAAAACCAATTCATTCAAGGTTCTCCATTCTCATATATTTTCTTACACCGATAATTCTCGAAAGAATTTTTTTTTATTATGTCTACGATCCAAAGTCGTATACGGCTGAATATTTTCGGTCACGTCATTCATATAGCTTTCGCTTTATTATCTGTTTTTATATATGTTATTGTTGTATATAATGTATGTTGTCAACAGCAACAAGCCCGCTCCGGTCAGAGCATCAGTGAAAGAACACTAGAAGAGTGCTGGTCAACACTTCAGCGAGTGAGTTGGCACCTGTTTCAATGCGTATCGTTATCTTCCAAGAGTAGGGGTTGTATTGGCGGGTTCGGTGTTCCAAATTTGAAATTTAAACCATTTGAACTTATAGTTTGAATATAATTCCATTTTTGAATAGTTTGAATACTTGAATATAATTCCATTTTTGAATTATATAATCTTGTTCATGGCTGTTGATAGTTTTTTTTTTTATAAATTTAAACTTCGAACCCGCCGACACACCTCCTAAGGGGTTTTGGACCAATAACTCTTTAGTTGTAAGTTTTATTTGTAATAGATAAATATCGATGTGAGATTTTATCAGCAACCTAGGTGGTAGGGAGGGGGGGGGAAACGATTTTTTTCACCACAGGAACCACGATGTATCTAGCCCGATCTATGTTGAATATTCATTAATGTAGCAACATTTCGCATAGAATCGATCAAGATAATAAAAAGTGTTGGTTACGATAAAACGCCTCGGGCGTGTTAACAATTTATTTAAATCGAGATTCACGGGCGATTTTGTTTTATTTTTTTCTTACGTCGGAGGCAGGACCATCTGCGTTAAAGGTGGTATTACCCAGGAAGTACTTGTACTGCAACATGTGTATTTCATTGACTTATTGCGTACAACGGAAAAAAGAGAACAAAAAATATAGCAAGGTTTAAGGAACAAACGTCTTATATAACACGAAATATAAAGTTGAACTAACTTATGTAGGCGTTAAATGTTATTTAAAACAATTGAAAGGAATTTATAAAATGTCATACATATTTAACATTAACGCCGCGAGCGTAGGTTAATACGTATTAAAAATTATAAACAGCATAATTCAAAGGACAATAACTAAAAACGAGCTCATTTTATATTCCACGTATAAATTTTGAAACACTCGCCAAAAAATAAACGTACGTAAGCAAAACCTTTCTAGTCGACGAATCCTTTAAAAAAGCCTCTTATCGTGTACATTAGCATAAGAACATGCATGCACAGGTGAAAAAATAAAGCACGTCGGATGTTGGACGGAAAAGTGCACCGAATAAGAACAACCCGTGTGTAGGGACGACTTATTATAACATCTTTAATAAACATATACATTTAAATCATTATTATATTAATACAAACATATACTGTTTTTAGTTTCCGTGTGTTAATTTGTAAAGTACGTCGGCTCCATACCTTTTTGTCCGTAACAAAAGTACTTGACATGCGTTGTCGAAAAAATCCACATTTGCATGTCGATCCGCAATGAATTTATCGTTATTGCGAAAAGATTTATTGATGCGGCTTCCCGAAAAAAAATATAAAAAAATCTTAAGAAAATAACCGCGTTCCAAATTTGAAATTCAAATTTCGACTTTTTTTTCAAATTGAGACGATTTTGACATCCAGCCTCGACATGTGCTCTTTGTTTTTTTTCCCGCCGTCAGAACGCACAGAGTATTAAATAAGTTTTTTTCCGCGCGCGATAGTAAATCAATTCCGTTTTAGTTTTGTTGGTGAATGTAAAATGTTTTGTTAATGTGTACAGAGCGGGCGTTTAGATACTTTTTAACGTCGGCATTTATTATGAAGAAAATATTAAAAGTAATTTATATCGGAGGAAAGAGTTGGGACTAATAACATTTTATTTTTAAGCGGGTTTGACTAACATCTTGTAACAAGTAGCCGGGGCGAAGGGTGAGGGGTGGTGGGGGGGGGGTGGACGGTAATTATGAAAAGTGTCCGAGGGTGGAAAAATTGTACCACGAGAAGATGTTTAAAAAAAAGTGCTCTAATGACTAAACAGCTTTTAAACTTAATAGGTTTTGAAAGATTCTCACTAACTGCCTCCTTAATAGAACTGGTCGGACGCGTTATTGTAGAGGACAGTTTATAATTAATATGTATTAGAATAGTCTGTGTCTGGTCCGGACCTGTTTAGATTACTTGCGATGTTTTTAATATTAAAAGCATATAAAAATATCTTCGCCGTACAGTCATTATAAAAATATAATTAATTCTATTCTTAAATCATAGCAATAACTAACGTATAATCGAGAATCATAATCTAAATGTTATATAAAAAAACTTTATTACGGAGCCTCCGAGACCGCGGCCTTATAATCGACATACAGCAAATTACATTTTTTATGAACTAAGCCTAACACTGAAATATTATTTCAAATACGAATCATATTAAAGTTTCTTACAACGTTCTTTACTTTATCTATTTTTTTTTCACAGCGTCATAACTCACGCCACGGAAGGCGTTTTTTGGCCAAACTTGAAAATTTATTTCGCAATTAGCGGTGAGAGTCTTAACTCGTCGGGACATTATTAGAAAACTTTCTTATTGCTACTAAAAATTAACACTTTTTTTTCTTTACACCTGATGTCACGTCTCCTTTGTCAGTTATTTAATGTCCAGCGTAAATAAAAAAAAATAGGATTCAACAAAACACTGTAAAGGCTAATTCATAGTTTTTGTATAAAACATAGTCTCCATAAATCAATCATAAACGCATTAACTTTTTGTACATTCAACTCTAGCATTTGCAAGACGAAAAAAAAAAATTTTATCGTTGAAAATTATGAAAAATGGCGTCAACATGACAACCGTTTAAAGCGACATTTTCACAAACACTACAAATTGGCGGGAAAACACCCTGGGGACGGAATGAGAGAAAAACTGGACAAAAATTAGATTTATACGACTCATTGGATTATTATGATTTGATACTTGATGTATGACAAAAAAAACTCAACCATTCTCATTTTTCCAACGACGTATTAACATATTTATAATAATTATTAAAATATTTCAACAAAATTCATGTAAATAAAACAATAAAGATCATACATTATTAATAAATTTGTCAATAACAACAAGATTGCGTAAATTAAATGTAAAATATAAAGTATGAAGGTCGCTGGTCGCAGTACAAGCAGCTAATGGCCCGCACTGAATAAAAAAGACGACTCAAAGATAAAAATTAGCTGAAATTAAAACAGGCTAACGAACGCCATTCTGTCTTGCTGACAATTTCTGTTTTCTTCAAAAATATCAAGTAAATATGAATTTTATTTAAATTAAACTCGTTTGTCTGGGATCCTGTGTTTATAAATATGACTTATTTTGCTAATTTTGAATGTTGCGTTCCATTTTTGAAATTTCGAATATCGAATTCGATATAATATTTTTTCTGTGTTTAAATAAAGTTCACAGCGCGGAGGTTGTATTATAGATAATAATATGTCATTTGATTTACCTAATTCAAGACATTAGTCGCTTGGGTGAGTCCTAAGTAAGACCTAGGCGTATTTTTATAAGCCATTGAAGACGTCGTTTTTCTCTACATGTTATTAACCCATTTGACGACGCTTCCATGCGGTTAATTGTGATGCGCTCGTAAAAATACTACACTAGCTATTGTTTAATATATATATATGATAGTACTTTATATTTATAAACCGAAGACCACCGAGGAGATCTCATAAAAAACACCAAACACTTATAAGGAGAAACGCAAAAACTTGAAAGAAAAAAATATATAGAATTCGCTATGAAAAACTACAATATATCCGTCCTGCTCACTCATAGAGGCAGTGCTCTCAATAAGAAGGATTCGAACGTATTTTATACATCACAAATAAATATAAATAACTATAAAACTATTATAAAAAATAAATGATTACGTAAGGAAAGCATCAAGCGTAAGTTAAGCACAGAATGGATAACTGAGTATAATAAAAAAGTTAGCGCATACAACAAGTATAGTACTTATAACAGAACGACGCGGGCACACGGAGGGAATGCACAGCGATTTTTTGCACATTTGAAAAATACATTTTGACGATAACGCACATATTATTTGCTAGTGATGTGTTGTGATAGTGTTGTGATCTGTTACCGATTCATAGATGCAGGTACGGTTTTTATCATAGTGTATGTCTGTATGTAATAGGTTTTAACTGATACACGCGGTTAGGGAAAGTTAACCTGTGAAACTCAAAAGTTCAAGCTTAATGTCAAACGGTGACATTCTCTTTTTTTGTTTAGTAAAAATAAACATATATATGTATAAAATCTTCGATAGAACGGGTTTGAATCTATTTTGTTTATAAATATTCAAAAAATTTTTAGAAAATCACGTCTAGATACAGAATTTATATATTTAGTGACCTTGAAATATATTAAAAATACTATAAGATTGAGGAAATGACTATTTATAATATAACATATAAGAGAAGTAATTCAAAATAGACAGTCATAATTGTTTTAAATGTACTGACATATAAGATTTTTATTTTTTTATATAACATATTTATATATGTATTAAAGTTATAATAACTACTAATATATATATTTATCAATTTCCTCTATTATCAGTTAAATATTATTTTCTATTAATTAAGTTTTGTGGTCATTACAGTCACTAAGCTTATAGTAATTTTGACTTACCTATTTAGCCTTTTTTATTACCACAAGAAGAACTATACATATATATATATACAAATAATATATAATAACAAGAGTACATATATAAAAAATATATTTTTTATTAGTAATGATTTTATTTTCGAGGAAATATTAATTACATGTTTAATGAAATGTTATAAAGTAAAAACTCATTCGTTTTCCTCATTACTTTAATTTTTTATTATTTTTTTATCACAGCTAATTAACCGATATATTAAAACTTATTAATAATAACGAAATATATTAAAAAATATTGCGTCAACAATTAGAGCGTTATCTTAATTTTATTAAAACAGTTTCAAATGTACTGATAATATTATTTATTTGACATCATTTCCGCTCTTTATAAGAGACGGTGAAAGCTTTTACAATAACCCACGATGCCATTCTGTTTCGAGTGCACGGGTGCTTGGGATTTCTTCAAATAGATTTCTATTAACGCAAACAAAATGGTTAGCAGATCTAAATATACAAGATTTATTATGTACATGTTATAATTTATATATAAAATGTATATATATAAAGCATTTCTTCTATTAA